TTTTCGGGGCTTTAATTACAAAAATCATAGTAAGAAATTCAAACATTTCAGTAAAAATTTATTGTCGATAAACATTAGTCATCGTAAATGAACATCACTGTATTTGAGTCACTCAAATTTTTACAAGATGTATCGATATAACTTGGCATTTTCATGTTTTACGAGAGGTCTTGTATGTACAATGATCGCCATGTCACTGTGGCGATGTTTGTAGGCGTGTCACCTCGATATGATCATTTTGATCTGTGATTTTGATTATATCGAGGCGACACGAACCACGCCCCCATGCTAAATCTCCCCTTTTTTTCTATATCTATGGTGCCAACTATAGGTCTCTTAGGATCTATGTGAGCTCAGTTCTGTGTGTCAATTATTTCGTGTAAATTCTATAAAATCGTAGAAAAATGCCTTATTATGCTGTTTTGGAGTACAAATATGACAGCCGCACCAAAAATATCACTCGTGGTGGTATTTCATTTTATCGGTAAGTTTTATTTTAATAAATTTTCAATTTTCTGTATATCAAAATCATTTTTTCGTTACAAGAAACGAAAGTAAAGCTTATACCCCTGCAATAAGGTCGCTTCTTTTTTGGGGAACTAAATAAATAACTTCAATTCGTCCTGATTCAGCAATTAGCCGCTAGATGGCATTTAACTTTCAACAATATGCCATCAGGGTAAAGTTTAAATCATATTAAACATCCATAATTTATTATTTCTTTCTAAATTTGAAACTACGGCCAATCATTAAATTAAGAACGTGTGAGTTCTGGCGACATCGGTTCCGATAGTAATCGAGGCATACGGCACTTCCATTGTTGTTTTTCTTCCGTGGCCCCGTCGCTTGGTACGATAAAAAAAATGTCACCTACTGAAACAATGGAACTTTTTTGCGAATCTAGATCTCGTATGTTATTCCAATGCGACGCAACCTTTGACGAGTCCCATGGTCACGGCTGACTGAGATGGTAAAGTCATCAACCAACTGGTTGACATAACTATGTCTAATATTAATGCAAACCACACTATTTTTCACCGACTTCAAAAAAAAGGAGAAGGTTATTATGTTCGGCTGTAAGTATGTTCACAGTTATTTTTAGAGTCGATGCCAGGCAAGGAAAGAAAAGCAAACACATACCTTAATGGATTTTAATGCTATACAGTAAGTTTGTAAACTTGTCTTGGCTGGTACTGACTCCAAAAATAACTAATTAGATATTGTAAATATCTAGGTATCAATATATATATTTTTTTAATAAAACTTCAAACCGATCAGTAGGTAGCACATGCCAATAATAATATTTAATTCAAATTATAGGTTTGGACAAAAAATGTCACGTTGTAATTGTACTAATAAACTGTAAATGTAGATTGATTAATAAGTAATTACAATATAAAACGAAATAAGACTATAATGAATGAAAAGTATTATATGTATTTGGACTAAATCTGCATTTTGTAATTTTTCGGTTTTTAGTGCAGAGACTGTTTGTGGTTTTGAAGTTCGTTGAATTATTTCTTTCAATAGTTAGTTATGAAACTATAGTTAAGAAAGTTATTAATGTAAATATCTTATTTACCAAAAAATATTTCATTTTTCGCTAAATAATTATGTTTAACAAAATATTTTATTATTGATACAAAGATCCGGCTGGACTGGAAACAGCTGCCTGGCCAAACCTGGGTATTGCTCTCCCAATTGAACTACTATAGTGTCACAGTTTTGCTTTTGTGTTCACAAATACGTTTACACTTTTTGAATAACGAATGTGATTTTAAGCGGAGTTTAATAGTGTTGAAAGAGTTATTATGGATTATTTTAATTTAGCTATTCAGCCCCCGTATCATGGCTACGCATTATAGTCGCGACACGCGAGATAAAATTGAAATAAGCGCACGCTATTGGCAATCTAAATTAGATCTGATTGAGACAGCCAATAGCGCGCGCTTATTCCAATTTTATCGCGCATGTCGCGAATATCATGCGTAGCCATGCTACGGGGGTTGTACTTCTTAAGTTTTTGAACTCGTGATGATAGTTTTGAGGTAGCGGGTGAGTTTTGTGTGCGATGAGAAAAATAATTAAAAATAAATGTAATATATGTAATAAATAAATATAGAGGGAACTGTGCCCGTAGCATGCAAAGTATGATAAACCAACCCGTAACATATTTATTTCAGTTGATATAGCTGTGTTGCCATTATTAATTTTTTTTATTGCGAATATTGAATCGGTAAGATCCGTACTATTCATTAGTTCTTTGTTTATTTGGTAATGAACTATTGTTATACATTTTGAAGAACAAGGATAACAATATGAAATTTTTTAATCAAAAAAGTTTATTCATCGCCCCGAAGATGATGCAACAAAAAACGGTTTTAGTAGTTTTTAAATTTTTACACATTATTTTACATTATATTAGTTTTTATTTACGTATTACTCTCATGTATTGAACTGTGTTAAAAATGTTCTGCTCACTTTTTTCCAAAAATTTATTTATATCAATTTGTTTGCTTTTATTATTTCTTTTTCTCGTTGGTCACCCTCAATTTTTACGTTGATTAAATTACTGTTCAGAACTGTTGAAATGTTTTAAAATCAGCTGTGATGTTGTAGCCTTGTTTTGGCGCGGCGCTCGCGATGCGACAAAAATATGACGTCACGGTGCTCGCCATGTTAGCTAACGTAATAAAATTTTAAGAAGGTTTATCACTCAAATTTGACAGCGAATTGTGGATATAAGGGCTTTATCGCGGCAGTATGTTACGGGGGCAGAAATAATGAATACCTAATTGCGCAGCCACGCATTAGATGTATATTATTTACTTTCTATGTAATCTTATACGCAACCGAGAACCGCTAAAACCATTCTCAAATACGGATACGAAATATTATGTCCCAATGTCGAATGCAAATGGTCCCAAGACGGGAACGGTTAAACAGAAAAAGTTGCGAAATGTTGGCAAAAGAGTGGCAAAGTTTAGCACAAACTTTTCGTGTTATCCCAGACAGGGGACGATAAATCACAACAATATTGTGAAAATTTACTTTTTTCCCGCTAGAAGGTGGCGCGAAAAGTTTTCGCGATAAAATTGGCAGGCCCTTCGCGGCGAGTCGTGCTCGCGATTTTATGGGGCAAGTCTTTAGCTGTAATGTCCCAAGTTGTTTGACTAAACATGCAGAATCATATTTCACTTTCTTGATTATGTTTTATTTGCTATAGTAGTATAATAAAACGCTATTACACTTAGATATAATGAGGAAAAGTATAATAAGAGCGCACTATGATATCGAAGATGATTTAAGTGACCACGACAGAAATGGAATAGTATTTTATGCAATAGTGGCGTAAGTAATGATTAAAAATGACTTGGACAAAAGTGTTGTATGCACATTTGTCCGAGTCATTTACTCGTTATATTATTTAAATAATGTATATTTATACCAATATTTAATGTATATTTTGTTAACAATCCATGGCAACAAAATCAAATGAAAACAAAACGAACGCTACAATACAAAAACCAAAGGGGTAGAATAGAAGTAGCCAAGTACCGCTTATATTTTAACCAATATTTTTTTACAAAGGTTTATGGCCCGGTTGCAAGACCGTTATGCCAATTTAACGAATCAAGAGGCAGTAGAGCGTTTGAGTCTATTCATATTTAATATTTGAATTAGTGAAAATATGACGTTCATTTTTTGAGACTCATTATAGTTCCGTGTACAGAACTATAATTAAATTTTTCAGTTCTGTAACGAGTACCATAGACAATAATAAAATTTGAATTCAGAACTAAAAAGAGCCCCTTTGTGATCTGGTTTATGAAATTGTAATTGATAGACTAAAATATAGGAATAGCAAAATACTTTGATGGTATGCTTATTAAGCGAATTCAAAAAAGGAAGATGTTCTCATTTTTTTTGTATGTGTGTTATGTAGTTACTCCGACATTTGTTAACCGACTTCGATGATTTTCCATTGCGCAAAAGTGTTGCCTGCTTGCGAGCAGCTAGTGATTGCAGTCGATAAATATTCTATCAACTATCGAGTGAATATTGGTCACACTTATGAAATAAATAGCTGAACTTGTTTCATTGGAATTGTAAATTTTTGTAAAGTCGTACATACATACACTGTATTTCGAACTATGTTTATGAAAAATACAAAGAGAAGACATATTTTAAAGTTTTCCAGCTGTTCTTGTTAAAATATACAAGAATAAAAACTGATCTCGATACTGTAGACTGACTATCAAAATAAGAATAAAGGAGGCAATAACGCTATTAGTAATCATTAGAACATCTTAACATTCACAATTCAGTAGTTTTTGTTAAAATTTTATCTTGTTTCGCAACCTATCGATAAAACTGTCGACAACAACTACATAACTATTTAAAATTTTGTTAAAACTGGAAACCCTGCATTAGTCATTTTACTCCGTCTTCAAAAAAGACAGACTATAAAAATTTAAAACGCAAAGTTTTTTTATGAGAAAGTTATTATATGGATCACAATTTATTGAGAAAACGTGAACAATGTCAACCTCGACGTACCTAAATCAACCAGATTGAGGATATCCTTACAAACAGCCACATAAAAAGTGCCTAAAATAAAGGAGTGTTTATCAAAAAACTGATGCTAGTTGAGAAAGTGAAAAAGATGTCGAGTTAGAGGTGGCAGTGGGACAGTACCGTGATGTTATGTGTGAAATACAATATCAAACATTGCTCTCGTTTAGAATGAATGAATGAAATGTTGCTTTATTTTTATATCACAAACAGGCTTATAGGTTAAAATGGAACAGAATAAACAAATTATGATCCTTCCATTCGTCTTCCATTATCATCCTAGTTTATTTTCAAAGTTCTATTTATAATAAATAAATCCACAAGTGTTCTTGAAAACATAAATCTTTTTTTATATTTATAATACTACATACCTACTCCTAATTTTTCTACAAAAATCTTCTAATATGATCTTTTCTTTACCACAGTACCACCCGACATAATAAGTGATGATACGTCAGGAGACGTATCAGTTCAAGAACTGGAGAACGCCACCCTGACCTGCAAGGCGACTGGTCACCCACCTCCGAAGATCACATGGAGGAGAGAAGATCATGAGCCTATACTCCTGAAGAAACCTTTTTCTAAAGATTTTGACAAAGGTATGTAACACTGCGAAGTTTCTTCCACATTGTTATGGAACACAGTTTCCTGCTTAGGTACTGATTTGTTTACTGAATACTAATAACTAGAGCCTATTCAATGCGAGAGTGCGCATGGTCTATTGTTATATTTCGTCATGGACATCGAATGCGCATTTGTTTCTGATAAATATAGTAAAATCACATACACACAACTTTGTATTCATTGTCCCAGTTAAATATTCCTGATATTGTGTATATAAATGATATTAACCACATACAAAGGACGATGGAAACATATAAATTTCAGGTTTTATTCAAAACCTTTAACACCTTAAATTAAAATAAAAAAACTACTGTACTCTCTGACTGTACTCCAAAGAGTCTTTTTATAATTTTTTTTATAATATTATCAAGTGATGGGATGAACAAGTCGTGCGCCTGATGATAGTCAGATAGTTCCTCGAGGGAAAATCTTGTACCGCGATTTAGAAATTAATAAAAATGCGCCCACGCCATCTAGCGCTCTGCGGCGGAACTTAGTAATAATAACGCACACAAACTGGTCCTAATTTGACATAAAGACGCAGTTCGAGTCCAGTCATATTGAAGGAATGTTTCTTTGTGTTATAACTTTGTAGTATATTTACGCAAATAAATCACTAGTCACATCTGAACACGTATAATTGTACATCGATATAATTTGTATTTTAATTTCGTATATTTTTAATGCAATACAATTGTATTCGGGAAAAACAAATCTTACAACACAATCAAGTAACAAAGCAAAAAATCTGAGCTCAAACAAATGGAAAATTTTCTTTTCTCGTGTCGCTAATAAAGCCGGCTTTCTTGTGCAAATATTCCACTTTATCTACACTGCTATAAAGATCTTAATTTGATAATACGCTTTTTTGCTTTTTAATACATTTCGGGCTAAATTATGATGCGTACTTTATATGAAAATATTTATTATTTCTTTATTTTTTATTCTGGTATAAAAAAGTAAATAATCAGATGGTGTATATAAAGGAAACTTATTGCCATCTGTAGATAGATATTTGAGATATTGAAGAAAAAGTTGCCAGCCATTGAATATTAGGTTTTGATATGCCTGTGAATAGCTGTCCTTATCCCTTGAAATGTAAAACAATCATAATTAATTAATGAATAAAATATTCTTTATTGCGCATTAAAAATTTCAATCATAATACAGAACAGTTATGTAAGTATCACAGAGTAAGCTAATGTACAACAGGTAAGTACATGGTAAAAACAGATTACTTAGAAAAAGACAAAATTCTTTTTATGAAGACAAATTTATTAAATCCAACAAAACGATAGGGAGAGGCCCTATAGACGCTAAAGAATAATTTTAATAATAGTAAAAAAACGTCTGAAAAGTACCTATATTTTAGTTATACAGACAGAAATATTTAATCCAAGAGCAAATTAATTTACTTCAAGTCACAAAGCCACTCTAGATTCAACAAAATATTTATTAGTTATTAGAAATGTGCGATTTTGACTTGAAAAAAAGAATAAAAAATTGAGAGGTACTTAATTATTTGACTGAAGACATTGACTTACAATTATATGGACGTCGGGTCCGCGCTAAAAAGTGTCCGAACTTATAGGGGGTTAAAATCGTATACAGAGCGTCATTCACGCTTTAGTCTTCGTTTGTTCGACTGACAGCGAAGCAAGCAAAATTAGACAGTATTGCGATGACATTACAATTTAAATTCAACGTTTTAGCTTTTTCATATTCCTTTACATGTCACTACGTTTAAATAGGTTGACTTGGGACATTTTTTTCGTGGTTTTTGCATTAGACCCGTCGTCCATTTATTTGTAAGTCAATGTCTGAAGATTTATGTTTTCTAATATCAAAAAGGATAAATTTACAGGGTTATTGACCGTACAGTATGTCTCACTGGCGTGAAACCACATAGTTCACTGCCAAACCTTCAAGTAGCAGAAATAGGACGGAATCTTCTCAAATACTTGAGTACCATTCGGTGCCGTATAAATGCTACAGCGGCAGAAAGCACTAATAATTCAAAATATATGAAATGACTTATACTATTGAAGTTAACAAAACGATAGCGCGTTTCAGAGTACAACTAATGCCATTTAGCAGTGGCGTGATGGAACTAATTGCATGTTAAAGTTGTGCTTGTTACAAGAGTAGTTTGATTTCATGCTGAAACCAAATTTCTTAAATTATGACTACAAATAACACCCTAACAAACTAGAGATGCTACGTATTGTTTCTTTGGATAAATGACTGTTTATGATTTATGATTACAAGCACAAGTAAAAGTAATCATTACCGCGTGCGCCTTCGGCGACATGTTACGATAACATTGACTATGAAAACGCAACGAAATGTTGCTTTAAAAATATACTTTAGAATTTAGAATATTAATCTGAATAGCAAAGTACTTCTTTTTTTGTTAAAGAATATATTTTCTTAAAATACACCCAAGAAATTTTGAATTCATTTAAGATTATTTAAATTTGATGTAAGAGGCAAAAATTTCTTGATGTAAGTAATGTCCAATTAATTGATTAGAAATGAAATCAAATCTTGAAGTGAACGTATTTGTCTAAAACTTACAATAAAGTTAAGAGTAAAATTGTATTAGAAAAAGATAAGCAGCACTTTTGTAATGACAATATTTTATTACTTTTAATAAATATTTTTTCAGAATTAGCGAATATTTTGAGAAATTGCTCCTTCCTATTAGTAGATATCCTTTTTTTCTGTGTTGCAATTTCTTCCAGACAGCCTTAGGGTAGAAATTTAAGCGCTTGAAAGGCGTTTGCTATAAAAGAACATCTTCCATTAATCCTTCACACTCACACGAACATCTTCCATCTTCTGTTTCAAATAACTACACCACATATGAATAAAATAAATATATAAATAATACTTTATTATGCAGTCCTATTTAGCTTTTAAAATTTGGTAGGATCTTTGTAATCAGGCGAGTACAGAATCGTAGCACCACACCCCCGTTCGTTTCTTCATAAGTTTTGATTATAATGACCTTCCCTAACGACCCTTAAGGTATACGCGAAGGGCACTACAGCCTGTGCAAGCACAGAGACCTCAGTCAGGTCCTGATCCCAGATCAGCCTGTTTGTAAAGACTTTATCCGATTCTCAGAAAGCTATTGCATTGGATAAGCTGCCCCGAGTGCACGTACACCAACCTCCCTATTTTCCAATCCAAATAGGTAGGTACCGGAACTGTAGACACGTTTCTTCCCGTTGCGCATTGCACAACTAACTTATACTTGAAAACAGAAACGCAGTAATGCTTACATTACTTAGTGGCAGCACTTACCTGGACGAACTCTTTCTATTGTCTCCGGAGTGAATTCACGAATACAGCTTCTCTCAGCTTCAGAATGCAGCATCTTCATCTTTCTAGCCGTTCTCAAGTAGGCCTCGTTCAGTTTCTGCCATTTCTCTCGGTTCTGTGCCACCTATTTCCAATTCAATCCCACCACTTTCTTTATGTTATCCAACGCATCTGCGGTCTCCCTTTGGGGCTTTATACCTTACGTTCTTGGTATGGTTAGGAAACGAGGTTCTGGACATAAAGTCCGTAGATAGTGATAAAAAAGTACGCCGAATCCCACGAACATAGACTTCATCATCACGTGAACATAGAGGCCATACAGCTACTAAACAATACAAATATAGTGCGAAGACTACATAGAACTAAACTTTTTGAAGTGGTTGAAAAATCAAATAGAATCCAACAATATGCACATAGAAAAATTCGTGAGGTCCGCTGGTTTGTTCCGTGGCTTAATTGGCATAGCGTCTAGCGGCGCGATTTGCTAGAAGACGTTGGTTCGAATTCGGCCGGATCGAAGAATTTTTTTGTAGTGTTCTTTGTAGTACTATTTAAACCTTTTGAGTTAGTGTGGTTAAGTGAATACAATAAAAATTAGTGCCAGGGTGTTGAACATGAACGAATTATAAATTTAAGGCTTTATTTGGGTTTATAACAAATTAAAAAAATTGTGTTGGATGTAGTACATGATTATGCTGGTCTATTACATTGGGCGGATAAACTGTAATAACACATATTCATTAGGGGAATTAATAAACAAAAAGAGAAACACATTCAGGGTCTCATTTGCTGTTATATTTACAATATAATTTCCATGTGGAAGTCCGACATGTGACGTCGATAAGCAATGTCTATCTTTAGACATGGTTTTGTAGTAAAATCCTTGAAATTGTTTAAATAATTTGGCAACTTTTACAAAACTAACTTCTAAGTACAACACGTAAAGTCGAAAATAGTTATGTTAAGTTCATGTGGAGTGGGAAGGCAGCTTAGACACAGGTGTGTTTAGAAAATTAGTAACATACGCGGCTTCTTCCTTCTTACCGCAACAGTGATGTTACAGTAGTTATTTTAGCTTTAGGAGGATTCTCTTAAAATAATTTAACGTCAAATATTAAATATTTTGGCACTATTTATTAGCATGTATTTAAATGATCATATTAAATTTGCAAAAAGCAGCAGACAGAAAACTCTAAGCAGTTATTTTGTTAATAATTGACCCTCTTTCTCTGAGACATAAAATAAATTAAATTAATGGATATATTAATCTGTTCTTAACTACTCAAAAAATGTTTGATTTGTCTAAATTAACTTTGATAGTTTTATGTTGTGCCTCAAAACTAACTAAAAAAAATATTTAAGATAAAGTAACTGTTTATTATATTTGTACACTAATATATTGTATCATAATACTTTGACTTGAAAACATGTTCGGAAACGCAAGCAAATGGCTTCTGGCACTCGCCCGCCGCTGCCGCGACACGTGGTGCTTTTTCAAATACTATCCTATAACCTACTAAATGAAGGGTGCAACCAAGCAACCAAGATTTATCAGGAGATCAATATCAAAAGATATACTGGTTATGAATATCATCACTCGTTAAAAGAAAAGACCAATAATAAAAAAGAGGATCAAATATTATTTTTGAGTACCAAATATTGATTAATTTATGTTTAAACATAGTAATAGTATTACCTTGAATGCAATTCATTTATAATTTATCTGTATATCAAGTAATATATACAAACTATCAAATATAAAAAAATGTCGTTTCTTTAAAAAAGTGCACATTTACAATAAACCAGTATATTTAAGGATTAAATAATATCTCCTATTTTCTTGCTGTTCTTATGACAAACAAATTAATGCTAAGCTTTGATGGCGACGTGGTAGTAATCGCCGTGTGTAGATATTCAGGCGAGAGTAAATAGGCATCATTTAGGCTCTATCATCGACCTCATCACCACTTTACATCAGGTGAGATGGACGTCAAATTCGCATTTATCAAAAAAAACCTTTGTCTTTTTTATAATAACAATAATAACACACACACTCAACATAGCCCCGCACTGGGGAAATCCTGTGTTGCGGGTGCCATAGACATACAAATAGACAACCACAAATTACACCCAAACTCACGAGAGAAATAAATGTAGGCCTTAGAAATATTTCTCCCGGCCTGGGAATCGAAACTGGGACCTCTGCGTGGCAGTCTGGCATGGTAACCGTTCGGCCACGGAGGCAGTTATAGTTATAACATCAAGTGACGGGGCGAACAAGTCGTGCACCTGATGGTAAGCTCCACGCCTGTCCATCACAACTGCAGTGCCACTCAGATCTTTAAATTGCAAAGATCTGAGTGGCACTACCACTGCGCCCGTCTCCCTGAGACATAAGTTGACAAGTCTCATGTGCCTGCAATTTCACCAGCATCCTTACCGTTCAAAACCGGAACACAGTAATCTGACATTACTGCTTACTGGTAGAAATAAGTAAGGTGGCAGTACTACACTGGACGAACACTTTCACAAGGAGCTCTATTGCTACTAGAAAGTTAAGCTTCTAAACATTTGCGCCTTCTTTTTTAGTCCTGATCGTGGCCAAGATTGGTTGATTATGTTTTATTACACTTATTCTTATAAAAAGAAATTGTTCTACGACGAAAGACGTACTAGCATTTCAGTGACGTCAACTTCGGTATTGCCATCAATTTGTGTGAGAAATAATGACACAAATTGTGTGTGCTTTTGATAAATCGAACTATTGGTAGTAAATCAATCTGTCAATAAAAAAGATATAGCTCATGTATACAATGGGAATAAAAGATAATACAATGCCTGCCTACGCGTTCATTATGAGAAAATGCCATATGTCGTATAATTTGTACCGTTTTATATAGTAGAGTTATTAAATTTGATATTTCAATCAAAACCCTATGATAACAGTTCAATATGTACTTGCCTTAGTTAGTTTTTTACGAGTAATAGGCAAGCAAATAATGTTAAGTGACGTAGTGGTGTAAATTAGAGCTATTTTTTATGATATAAAGTGACGGAAGACCACGTCGCGTGACTAGTGGTAAGCGACATAACTGTCCATAGTAGGCATGGGCAGTGCCACTCAGAATTTTAAATCACAAAGATCTGAGATCGAATCATCACATTACTGCTTAATGGTAGAAAGAGATAAGGTGACAGTACTTCCCTGGACGAGCTCTTGCACAAGTTGTTCTACTGCTACTAAATTGCTTCCTTTCCTCGGCTTGAAAACGCCCAAGCATCCTAGCTTAATTATAACTAAGAAGTACGGTCTTGTGATGCGAATTTCTTACTTTCCTCGTAAGTAGTTGGGTTACCTATCAGTAGTTCGTAATTTTGAGAGGAAAATGTTTTACTTTTAAACTTTTTTTTTGGTAATCCGGGGGAATCTGCTTGCAGATACCCCGGCCCCGCAAGGGGCAGAGCCGGGGTTATGTGGGACTGGATTGAACCCTGAAGGGGAGCAGCCCGACCGCACTAAACCCCCGGAGTATTCCTTCTCTCCGCTGTAGGTGGGGGTACGGGTGTGTTGTTGCACTCGTCCGCGCACCCGCGCGGACTCTCCGAAGAGAGTCCCTTGGAGCGCCCACCACGGGCCAGCCGCCCAAGTTCGGCCGCGTAGGGACGAGCTTTTCTTTTAAACCTAATCGTGTCTTTGCGATAAACATTCAAAGTATCCTGAAAGAACAACTGTTTCGTTATAATTTGGTTTTCTATGTAATCGTAAATTCGAAACGTTGTTTGGTACAAAAAAATTTTCGACTTTATGATAGGTTACCAATAAGTTGACCTCGATTTTGTTTTGCTATACAACAACACCATTTTGTTCTACACCAATAGTTATTATCGATTTGAAAACCTTTTACAAAGAAAAACGTTTTGAAGAATCCACTAAACATTATTTATTATGATAAATAACTAAACTGAATATGGGGCCACTTAGCCCTTTATGGCTGTGGTGACATTTGAAATAAATTATTCACGACTTATAAGGTCATATTTGGAGCCGAAACCAATTGTCAAAATACATGGAAATACTCCACAACATGTCATAATGATTATAAATGATAAGGTTCAATAAAAGTGGATTAGTTAGCTTGTATTTGATTTACATTTGTGTTCAAACTGAATTGTAAAACGTTTGTTTTCAACACCACATTCTTAATATAGTTTGTTTTGGCAAGCAACTTAGATTTTATATTGATGTATGTATACTTAGTTTTTTCCGGATTAGAAAAAAACGTTAGTAAAGAAGCAGTAAACAAAATTACACTAAAGGAAAACATCGTCAAAATTAATGATGTTGATTTTTATTGAATATTTAATTTTTTGTGAAATTACTCCACAAGTTTGTTATAATAATTTATACAAAAATCGATCGAAATAGATTAAGTACGTAAAGGTAGTAATTTTTCATTTAATTTCTAGTAGCGAGATGAGACTTACGTATGAGAATTTTGTTTCACGGTATATTTATTTAAATGCTTTGCTTTCAAAACGACTGAGTGAAATAGTGCCTGATAAAAGACCCAAAAATTTCCTTCTGTCTAATGCTAAGAATACGTAGTATAATTGTGCTCAATAACTCACTTACTAGAGAGAGACTAGACACTGAAATGTTATTGTTACGATCAAAAATAAGAGTACCTAGGAATAAACAATGTAAAAGCATGGTAGTGGTATTTTATTTTTAGACATCTTTGATATCTGGCACGTGTAAATTATTGTGCCTTACTTTAGTAGTGAAACAACGTATTTTGCTTGGGACGTGCTCCATTTGTTAGATTCTTGGAATACTTAATACATATTTGTAATATTTTGTTTTTTCTTTCTTAGTGGAGAGCTACGTGGGCAGCTCTCTGACGCTGTGGCGCGTGGATCGACGACAGATGGGCGCGTTTCTTTGCATAGCTTCCAACGACGTGCCTCCTGCCGTCAGCAAGCGGATCATCCTTCTTGTCAATTGTAAGTTTTCTTCATTAAAATTGTAAGTATACTTATACTATAGCTATTAAGTCAACATCTCTGGTAGTTCAGGGTTCAATTGTGTCAAAAACGCTATCATATTGAAGATCTAATTTTCGTTTTTTAATTATAGAATAACTACAGTCAAGCCTGGTAACACTTTTGTCATGTTTTTACGGCCTTTAAAATAAAAAAGTCGGTAAAAATGAAGATAAGTTTTATAGAATAATGAGAATTACTTCATACTCAAATTTAGAATAACTTAACTAAAATGACAAATTAGAAACAAACAAATGTTGGAGATAATTGCGCTTAAGGGGCCGTTCAAAATTATCTTGACTTTTGGGAATCTTTCAACCGAGTTATTTTAGACAGGGAAAATCCTTCTTCATTGACAATTTGACTGACTTGAGTAAGATTATACTCGCATTTTGAATGAAGAAAACATAGATCTGTCAAACTAAATAAACTTGTCATAACAAACATAGGGATACCATATACCAATTACCAGCTACCAACGAGTACAAAAAGAAACTGAAGCACACACGCTTTTCATTCGTTGAACACCGCGAATGGAAAATGGCGCGTAACTTTCAAAACTTTTTTAATAACTGTCAATGTTATGTCACATTTGACATCTAAAATATTTAGTCTTTCTTTGTTTTGTAGTCTTTATTAGGGTTTGCACATAACGATATTATATTAATAAATAAAAAAACTATAAATTGTACACAGAAATATTTTAAATATTTTAGTGTGACGCAATCTGATGTATCGGCTTGTGCTATCTGTTTCAAAGGTGTATGAAACAGATACCGTTCTGACGCGTCACGGTATGACATGTCAGACAAATGTAAAGCCGGGTTGGTATTTTTGTATGGAATTGCACTTCTTGTCTAATTACACTAAGGTAACCGGACAACCGTCAGTAAATCTAATATGTAGATAGACAGAATGTTTGTATTATAAAAACGAGGATTCAATCGATATTGTGAAATAATTTGTAGTAGCAGTAGAGCTCCTTGTGAAATAGTTCGTCCAGGGTAGTACTGCCTTACCTATTTCTGCCGCCAAGTATTAATGTCAGCGTTACTGTGTTCTGGTTTTGAAGGGTAAGTAAGGGTGCTGGTAAAATTACAGCCTTGTAAACTTATGTCTCAGGATGATGGGCGCATTGGCACTGCCACTCAGATCTTTGCAATTTAAATCTCTGAGTGGCACTGTAACTGTTAAGGACAGAGTACAAACATCCAACACGCAACGTGACGTTATACGCAGGGAAACAAAGAAACGTCACTGTATTCATTATATAAATTAAACAATGTACACACTCATAGCCCCGCACTAGGGTGCCATGGACATATGCTTAGGCAACCACAAATTACACCCAAACTCACGAGAGAAATAATCTGTGCGTAATGGTAACAGTTCGGCCATGGAGGCAGTCTATTTTCCCGTATTCTTTTGTATTTTGTAACCATATTTAAACAAAAACCAGTAAAAATGCTGAGGAAAATACAGTAGTCAATCAATATGTGAAATTCTCGAAGTGGCAAGGGCACTGTGTTTAGTTTGTTTACCTACTACCAATGACGTCATGCGTTCCGTGTTGATGCATTTTTTAGTAACAGTAGCGCTCTTTGTGAAAGACTCGTCCAGGGAAGTACTGCACCTTATCTATTTCTGCCGCCTAGCCGTAATGTGAGCATTACTGCGTTCCGGTTTCGAAACGGAAGCGCCCAGTTGCACGGCGCAAAAGTACCGCGCTTTTGTGTAGATTAATGGCAAATCTGAACTCTATTTATTAGGTAACGACATTTAAATTCCTTGGAATAATACAATCGCCGAGTGGCCGCCGCGTGGCCGCCGCGTAGACCAAAGACAAGCCAGACTCGCTAAGATCGTTAGAGCGTATTTTGCCATGACAGTTAGACGCACGCGGTTGCTGCGAGGCGGCCACGGGGTCTCTATGCGGCAGCCGCGCGGCGTGAATGCGATGAAATTCGTGTCGAATTAACGCGCCCTAAGTGGTGGTGCTGGTGAAATTACAGGCACATGAGACTTGTCAACTTATGTCTCAGGTGACGGATGCAGTGGTAGTGTCCCTCAAGTCTGTATGATTTAAAATTCTGAATGACACTGCAACTGTTATGGATAGGCGTGTCGCTTACCACCAGGCCCATGACTTGTTTGTTGGCAACAATTGCTGGCAAATGATGGCAATTGGTATCATAAAAAAATGCACGTTTTTTAATTCCATTTAATTTTAGAGACTTGAAATGCTTATTTAAGAGAGTAATATTTTTCTTGACCATCATGGTTAGCTTTGAAATACTTTTCTGAAAAGTTGTCTGATTTCTTAATGTATTACAATACTAGTAAATTAATAATTTAACATCATAATGCTCATTCCGTCGGATTACGAGATTGAAGATATTGTGAAATATTCAAACACTGTAGTATATTGGCCATTGACTGTCCTAGACGTGAACACCGGTAAAACGAATAACTGTACTCTAGATAGCTTCGAGAGCCGTGACGAACGCCGCCAGCGCGGGGATTATCATTTTGTTATTCAAAGCGAACGGTGCAATTTGATGCTATTGGGGAACGCAAACAAATGGAATAAATTGTATGTTTTGGGTACAAAATATCAGGGAACTTGGCTAAGGAGAATGTAAAAATATCACAAAACTATGCCGAGTTTAACGTAACGTAACACAACTAAACGAGAACTTAACGTAAGTGACATTTTTACTTACCCGTGGGGTGTCTTTTTTGAAGACGAAGTAAAAGAACAGTTCATTGCTCAAAAGTGTTGCCCGCTTAAGAACGGCTAGTGATTGCAGTCGATAAATGTTCTATCGACTATCGACTGAATATTGGTCACGCTTATGGAATAAATAGCCAAACATGTTTCATTTCAATGATCCTCGACCCATTATTCATCCCATTACTGAGCCTAAGTTCATTCGAATTGTCAATTTTTTCAAAGTTCACGCATACATACACTGTAAATAGAATCATGTTTATGAAAAACATAAATTGGAGACGTATTTTAATGTTTTTCATTTTAAATCATTACAGATAATCATGTCCGCCTATTGTTGTTGTATGTGTCTAAATGTATGTGAATGAAAATTGATCTGTTCTTGTCTCTAAATGTATGTGAATGAAGATTGACTGGTTCGTTCCGTAGCTTAGTTGGCATAGCGACGTCGATTCGAATCCGGCCGGAAGGAATTTTTTTCTAATACGATCTTTATATTAATAATTATAGTATTTTTTATCGTAAATAATATTTTAAACTATAAGGGCGCGTTCCCACTATGTCGTCACGTTTTATTATCGTTGGACGACTGTCGTGTCCAGCCTGTTTCCATATCACGACTATCTGTCGTGGACGATTTTTATCATTGAACGACTGTCGTGACTAGCTGTTTACCGTTTCCCGACAGCCTCCTTGTTGTTTGCACGACTGAATCGTTTGATGCACTGCAGTTGCTTGTATGTTCTTTTGGAAGCCGGTAGTGTGTGTTCGCTCGAAATGGATGAAGACGAAATTTTAATGATGTATTACTTTTTAAAAATGCGGAAGAGGAAGTAAACAAAGAAAAGAAAGTTTTGGGTACATCCAATGCTACCAAAAATAATTCCATTAGGGTTATTTCACACGGTATACGAAGTTGCTTTCTTTTCGGTATTGTCAAAACCTGCTAGCACCAGAGATGGTTAGGTAGGTAGAGTAGGTTAAAACCCAATCAACCCGCCCGTGTTTTCATCAGGGTTTTACCCGAAACGCCGAGTTTTAACCCATTTCTGCCCAAAATCGTGGGCAGAAACGCAGAGTACAGAATTTGGTATAATTCCAACACTAACAACATAATATCAAACTTATAACAAATTTGTATATTTTTATTACACGAAGAAGAGGCATCTCCACATAATACCCACCACCTGTCAATCCTGTGGATTCTCAATGAAGGTCGATTCAAGTGCATACGATGTAACGATTTTTTGTATCAATTTATTGATGAACTTTTCAAGCGAATCTATTCAATAGAAAGGTAAATTGAACTTTTCTGATAATAAAGCAACAAATATTTTTTAAATAATATATATAACTAAATTTGAACAAAACACAATTCACAGCAAATATTTAGACGTAAAATGTTTTTGCCGTCGATTTCGGGTTTTAACCCGATTAGAATCCGGCGTTAACAAAGCACTGGGTTAAAACCCGGGCGCTTGCCCATCTCTGGCTACGACCTAACGCTACTGCAAAGCGAGCAGAGGACGCGGGGTACGAGAAAGGAGGGCAGGGAGCAGAATACGTGCGGACAGCAATAAATAAAACGTGACGACAATAGGAGCTGCGACAATCTGTCGTCACGTTTTATCGTGACGTTTTTTTATTGTCGTTGTAACGATAAAAAATCGTGAACGACAGTTTATCGTGTCGTGCTATATATGAACAAATAATTTAAATATACAAGCCACGACACTGTAAACTGCATTTGTCGTCACGACATAGTGGGAACGCGCCCTATGAGCGTTACGCACGACGTCCGATTCGTATCTGAGAGTGTACTCCCTTGTGAGGCCGACATCTGTCCAAAATAATTACTGTCAAATAATTACTTATTTACCTTCTCGAACCAAATGAAAAGATCCACGATGCGAATGAAGCTTCATACTTGGTATTTTAATTTGGTATTACTTATTTGACATTAATTATTTCGAACGACAGTAGACCCCCAGATCCGAATCCGAGAAATGACGATCCAAAATGTCACAAACTTTTAATCTCTAGGTGTATGCACAAAACGCAAAACAACTTTGCTGCTGAGCAAAACACACAACGTATCACCTCACTGTAGCGAGAGAAATGGTAGATGAAAGAAAAACAGTTGAACTATAACAAATCAGTTTAGTTCTTCGATGAATTAAAATAATTTAATAAACAAAATTAGTTATAGTAGTCAATTTAATGTAAACAGTAATGGGAATACAATTAACTAACGGATTTATATCACATAAATAATGTACGACAAATCGCGAAGTTGAACGTGTCATCATTATGTTTTTTTTTCAGCGGAAGAAAACGTTAGGTGCACCACAGTTCATCGTCACGTCATGTCATCGACGTTCCCACATTAGCGTGGAAAACACGCGCAGATTTCTAATGAGAAAGAAAATCTTTTTAGGCTAGTGAGGTGAAAATAATAATTTCCAAAATTCTGCATAATCATTACAATACCTAATTTTATGTGGAAGTTTGTTGTAGACCTTCGTAGCCATTAGCACCCAGGCGAAAGTTTTCGCGCGGCCACCGCGCGGCGACCGCCCAGTTACCACGCCTTCATGTATATTAATGGCGAATCTGAATTCTATATACTAGGCAACAACATTTAAATTCTTCTGAATAATACAACCGCCGCATAGACCAAATTCAAGCCAGTTTCGCCCGCGTGTCCGGGACGCTCATTTAAGTTAAAACGTAAAAGCTAAACGCATAGAGCGTATTTTGCCATGACAGTTAGATACACGCGATCGCTGCGCAGCGTTAACGCGAACTCCGCTCTTCGATTGCACAGCGGCCGCGCGGGGTGGGCGCGATGAAATTCGTGTTAAATAAATGCGCCCTTACTGTTACACTCTTTTGAAGTAGAGCAGTTTTACATGATCTAGTTTTCAGTTGATCAGAACTCCACGCCCGTGTAAGTAATTCAAACACGTAATTAAGGATGACGCTTTGCTAAAAGTGTAATATCAAATACATATAATGGTGGTAAAGTCAATATTTTCGCACTTTTGAAGTGTGGTTGATAACTATCTGTTTTTATTTCAAGCCGTATATACCCCGGATACATTTCTTTTGAGCTTTGTTTTTGCGTTCAATGTATGGTGCATTTTCCCAAAATGTGATTGGCTGCTACATAACCAATGGTAGGCGGACACTAATGCGTTTAAGGCGAGTCACAAGGAGAAGCTGGAAAAACTGTTTTGCTAGGTCAAATGGTTTAGGTATTTACTACTAAACAATTGTCTTACAAAAAATATACGACACACCCGAGGATATTGTCTAAATACTGTGCTAATTTGTTACATGATAGGACGTACTTAATACGATCATATAAGATCCTGAAAACAGGCTAAAATAAAAGTGTAAAAGGAATGTTTTCTGTATAATATATCTAACTTCGTACATAATTTTTATATGGAGATATTTCTCTTTATGTATTACAGAGAATCTGCTAAATGTTGTTTTTAACACTCAGCGTTTTAACACGCCGCGCCGTCAGCTGCCCCGTCAGTCGCCATCGGGCATTTGTCGACGTCGGATCTGTGTCATTTTTCTCCGCCTTTTCTTACTTTATTCATATTAATCTACAGTGCGCGCATTGCGGGACTCGAAGGGTGGCCCACCCCGAACCTCACCTTTTAAATTCCAAACTCGCGTGAAATACTGTCTTTACTTTACTACTTTTGATAGCCTAAATATTGTTATAAACATTGTGGCCCAGACGCCAGACTCATTACGAAAATTGTTTTGTACAAAATTATGGGCTCCTTTCTTGCACCCCATCATTAAAGAACTACTCGAATTGGAATCAATACATAATTGCCAAAATATTTGTACTAAGAAAGGAAGATAAATATTTATTTGAACTCATAAAATATTTATTTGCTCAATAAATGTTTTATGATTGCTTCTCTTTGTTACTTTTATTGTTTGTCAAGTTAACTTTGCGATCTTTGTCATTCAGGAGCTAATGAATTTTAATGCGGCAATGGCCCTTGTGATCAGGAAATGAATTAAATACGTTCACGTTACCTTGAGTCTGTTTAATTGATTTAATTCTGCTACTGGAATCTCTAAAAACATTAGATATATTCCTTAGTTCAATGTCAAATAAATTAGTAAGATATTTGAACAGAGTGTAGTATGGGTTTTTAGTATTATCACCATTATCATTATCATTAATATAATAAAATAAAAATCACTAGTCCTTACCAGGGCAATTTCACCTGAGAGGATTTTTTTTTGTATTATCACAAAAATGCAATAGCTAGAAATACACCATGCGTTCGCATCATTTATGTAATAATTGACTTTATAATAAACTTTTCTATTTAGTACATTTTTAACATGAGCTTTGAACAATTTTTGTGATAAATTTTATGCAATGTCTGGAATTTTATTATAAAAACGTATAGGTACAGTGCCTACAAATGACGAGCTAACTTCATCAAGTCTGAGCATAGGGATCGCAAGTTTATTTTTGTTTCTAAGATTAAGGTTATCCCTATCACTGTGTTTCGGAAATGTGGGCCAATAACATAATACAAAATATAGGCCATAGTCCGCCACACACGGGACTTCGCGGACCTTCTTCGACAGGAAGTTTTGATCACGACATTTGTCTTCATCGAAAACACCTTTTTTCTGATATCAAGTAACGGGACGAACAACGGGCCTGGTGTTGTGCAACACGTCTATCCATAATAGTTGCAATGCCACTCAGAGCTTGATCTTATGGGCACTGACCCTTGAGATATAAGTTGACAGGTGCCATGCGCCTGTAATTTCACCAGAACCTTACTCTTCAAAACCGGAACGCAGTAAAGCTGACATTACTGCTTGGCGGCAGAAATAGATAAGGTGGCAGTACTTCCCTGGACGAACTCTTTCACAAGGAGCTCTACTGCTACGACTCTTGAGAAATTTCATATTAAAGAATAAGAATACATTTATTGGATAACTGTAGGTAATACCAGAACGTCTTAAAATATTACAGTGCTTTGTGCTCTATAGTTTACCAGTTAAGGTGCACAATATTATTTAAATGTAACAGAATAAAATTAAATTACATCACAATTATGAGAAAAAAAATATTAATAAACATGTCACGTCGCTAGTCACCAAACTTGTTATTGTCGTCAAAAAACTCCTCTTCACTATAAAAAAGTTTAGTACATAACCATTTAGTAAGAGCATTTCTTAATTTTATGTACTCTAATCTTTTAAATTCATTAATGTTGTTGCATATTTTGACGACATTACGTAAACGCTTTTATGGTAAAATGCTGAGGTATGATTGCCCTAGTAAACCATTCTATGCCCATGTCAATTTCTATGGTTCTTTTTATCTGCAATTTCAAAATATGACGGATGTTTCTGGACAAAAGCAGCAACCTCCTTAATGTACATTAAGGAGGTAGGCAGGGTAAGAGTAGAATTTTGTACTTGTCGAAAAATGGCTTACATGAATCCATTTGAGTCCCACCGCAAATGATACATACACAACGTTTTTGAATCTTAAATACCAGCATAAACTCTACTGAGTTTCCCCAAAAAATTATACCGTAAATTTATAACCGACTGCACATAACCAAAATAAGCTGTTAAGGCCGCATCAACAGACGCATTCTGTACTAATCTTCAAAACACACACACAAGTTCACAACATGGACTTTCCAGTTGCAATTGCTGTCAAGGATAAGGCCCAAAAACTTTGTGTGTTTAACTTGCTCTATATTAACAAGATTAAACGACATGTTTAACTCTATCGGTAGTCTTTTAGACGAGTGAAATTGCATGATGTTAGTTTTTGTTAGGTTTATACTGAGACCATTTCCATTTATCCATGTTAAAGAGATTGCCCATCACAGTAAGAACAAAAGTACTGACTCTAATATTTTTGTGTCCTGATGAAAATACCCCTTATTGATTATGCAGCCTTGGTGAATTACATGTACCAAGTTAAGTCAATATTCATTTCAGGACTTAAGAGATATTGAAGAAAAAGTGTTTGGTTTTTAGGCTATAGTAGAAGCACAGAAATATGGACTTTATGAAACTTTCTTAAGGTTTGCATTAACTTTTGGGATGAAATTGGGAAGGTGCAGTGCTTACTTACAATAATTGTTATTAGAAGGTACACAAAATGACCTAAATACAAGAAAACCGTCTCGTGGTCACCATTAAGGCCAGATCAAGCAGCGCAGCTTGAGACGTTGTTTATAATGTATGAATAAAATGACAACAACAACAAACGCGCGATGTTGTACAGCTCGGTCTATCTACGCGCAGTGTGTAATTTCCACACATTATTACAGTGTACGTGCCCGGACTGAAACCCACGGGCGTAGCTTGAGAGGCGGTAGGTCAAACTACTAGGCCACCATGGCTAGTACAGTAACATGATATATCTAATTATTTTTGTCCCACAGTTGCTCCTACCGTAAAAGTGCCAAATCAACTTCTGGGAGCACCTTTGGGCACCGACGTGAAACTCAAGTGTTATGTGGAGGCCTATCCTAATACTATCAACTACTGGGTCAAGAACCGAGGAGAGATGCTTCTTGACGGGTAAGAGAAATTTTATTTTTTACCAACAAAAAAAAAATTTTTTGTGTGTTAACCGATTTCGATGATTCTTTTTTTTGTACGAAAGTATTTGATGAAAATATTCCACCTCTAAGTGTAGCAAATTAGGGGATAAATCCGGTTTATTGGATATTACAAACTTTTTTTTTAACCGATGTCAATAAAACTTTTCAAATAGATGTAATTCCACAAACTTTTGAGGTAGGTCTTTTTTAAGTTCATCTAGGTAAAATTATACAACATATCTAACTAAAATCTGCCAAGTCGAAAATATACTCATGGATATATTTAAAAGAACGCTAAAAAAGGTTAAAATTATGATAATAACGTTCATATGGCCCTCTAGCACATATGCCAGAACGTTTAAACGAGACCAAAAAAGGATTGGATTATAGTCATTCTTTATTTGAAATTAAACTTTCTTATGAGTCAGTGGGTCATGTGAACGTCGTTATCATAATTCAAACTGTTTTTAGTGTAACCCTAAATAATATATATCCATAAGTGTTGAAAGGGTTGTAACCCTAACAACCGTGATCAGGATCACGGTAGTAAAACAGGAAACTTCCGGTCCACAAAATTTATTAAAAGAAGTAAAGTAAAACGAAAGGTAAAGTAAAAAAACCCTTATCGGGTTGTATTATGTTGAATTACAGATATTGAATAAACTGTTATTCGCTCATTATGGTCGATACATGATTTACATTGATTGTATTATGATTAAACTTGAAAAGAATAAAAAATTAGACAATTTGATTTAGTAGTTCTGTCCGCTATCGCAGTCAAGCAGAGAGTGACCGTGGTACGGAGCAAAAATGTGAAAGCGATGGAAGATGGAACAATTCAAATTTAAAATTTAAATGCGAGCAAAAGAAAAAATGATACGATAAAAAGTTGAGATGACGGTGTAAGGAGGTCACACCGTCACAGTGTATTATACCAAAACGTCCTTACTTTTACACGTTAAAACTAGATGATTTCTTTATAGTTCATATTGTATGCTACTCAGGGAATTTCAGAAAGTCATCTCATTTCGAAATAAGATTACTGGTGCTAACGTCTACTATGCACCATTCTATGAATTTTTATTTTTAAGACTTTAAATATCTTTATAATCTGTAAACATGAAAGAATAATTTAATTCTGTTTTTATGCCAAAGGCAAGCGTCTAATAAAATGAACCTTTATGAATTTATGTTTGTTCTTCTCTACCGTTTGTCCTTTTTTGTTCTGTCGTATTTTTGTCTTTTCATTAATTTTATTCTTGTGTGTGCGGGTGTCAACTTTTCTTTTGTTCTGAAGTAAATTTTAATCCCTTTGGCTATTATTAATCACTTCAATCATGGAATGCATATTTCACAAATTCGTTTGATGTATTTTCTTTGAATTCGCCTGTTTTGAAGAAAAGAAAGTCGTCATTTCATTTTCCTGTCGTTTTTTGTATTTGAGTGTTGTCTTCTTTTATCCCATTTCAATAATTATTTTTACAATTATACCTAATAATTATAATAAGTTTTGTCGGTGTTTTGGCGTCTTTTCTTTATCGATTATATACTTCAAGTTTGTCATAATATTAGTTTATTATGCATATAGAAAAGGTTAATGTACGAATCTTTCATCCAAAACATCCAAACAACAGCTGAAAATGCGTTCTTTGGTAAGTTATGTCCAACTAGAGAAAACTTTAATACAACACGGTAAATATACCGTGAAAATACGCGAATAATGCGTCCCGTAATGATTCGTAATAAGGGAACCTAGCTTCTTCTATCACAACTTCTCGGTAAAATTAACTACACGTAAAATTGACACACATGAATGGACGAAATGGTTTTTTTCTATAACATGTGATGGGACGAACATTTACAAGTAATGGTAAGAGACTCGCTTTACGGTTACCTATCAGGACTCCGAAATGACATTTTCCAAAAATAACGTTTGCGTAATAAAATTAACGTTCGATTTTTTTTTAATTTTGAGAGGAGTTTTTTCTTTTAAACTTCACTTAATCCAACCTAACCGAACCTAATCGTGTCTATGCGATAAACATCCAACATATCGTGAAAGAACAACGGTTTCATTATATTTCGGTTTTCGGTGTAATGAAAATTCGAATAAAAGTTATTTCGGAAAAACAAATTCGAATTCTCATAACACTATGGAGAAAGTACCTTAAAAGAAACGTATTCCGTATCGTATTAAATACTTTACCACAGGTTATTAGACATGAAACCAAAAAATGTAAATTTGCAATTATTAATACAAACATCGAACACTCAGAAAAAAATCCTTCGATCCGGATTAGAACCCACGTCTTCTAGCATACCGTGCCAGACGCTATACCAACTAAGTCATGGAACGAACCAGCGGACCTCACGAATTTTTTTCTATGTGATTGCTGTCGTGTCTTTGTAATTAGTTTTTCAACGACTTTTTAGTCGTAGCGCCATCTATGAGAAATCTATGAAAGTTTTATCACCTAGTTAGATTATATAGTTAGACCTTTACAGCTAATACCAGCCCTGGTGAGAGATGTCGCTATTCACTGTATTCTAAATTTTTATTGAATTGATATTCAATTGTTTTTTACGAAATTACTCCACTAATCTGATATAATTATTAATACAAAGATCGAACATTCAGAAACAATTCCTCTGGCACGGTATGCTAGAAGACGTTGGTCGCATCCGGCCAGATCGAAGGAATTTTTTCTGAGTGTTCGATCTTTGTATTAATATATATAACAAACTAGTGGAGTAATTTCACACCAACAGGATCGGAATTACAATCTTACGTAACTCAGATGTCTTTATAAATCATTTAAGTTCAGAGGAGAGTGTCACCACCACTAGAAGCTCCGAGACCGAAATTGCGCAGCCTGCATTCGGATATTTTTTTATACACAGAAAATGCGTTACGGATACCCCGTCGTGGGCGATGCCATGGCGGGGTTATAAATTGAGAGTCCCAACTCTCCTCCGTTGATCCATCCGGCGATACAAGCTCGCCCGATGGATCCTCACAGGCCTACCCACTAAACGAAACCTGTGTATGCACCCTCACCCACCGGTGCCGGCTCGTGGGATCCCGTAAAGAGTCGTCACTCACCCCGGTGAGCCTGCATTCGGATAGTAATTGATTCAACCCTTATTGACTGCGAATATCTTATATATTACTGCTGATATCAGTAGTATAAACGAAATAAATGTAATGTTTATGTACGCACAAGTCATTGTTTTTGTTTGTCTTCGTTACGTTTAGTTTACGTATGTACAATGTTTACATTCAGCTATGTTAAACATACTGAGTTTCCTTCAACGTTGTTAATATTTGTTTTCCGAGAAAGGTTGCTAAAGAAAATTATATTCATTACGTATAAACTAGGAAGGAGCTCAATATTTGTGAAAACACAATCAGAGTTTGGTACACATACCGACTGAATAATGACGGTACATTTTATACTCTCAAGCATAATATGATAAAACAAGTATAGTAATTCCATACAAACTTACCAGCGCGACTTGTAAGTGTGCACGCCCACCGCGCGCAGTGTACGGACGCACACATTCGCGTAATCTCGCGATGCACTTGCGTTGTTTACTAGTCGTCTCGATGTGCCTTCCATTATTATGCGACTGTGTATGTTGTATACAGCGCGCGGCGGTCGCGCACACATACAAGCCGCGCTGTTACTTTCTACATAATTACTGTACTTCTCTTATTTTACATGCCTTTAATTTCTTAATTACGTACCTTTGTGAATGTTTAGTAACAAAGTAATAAAATCTGTCAGTTGAAGAATGCTCACAACCTTTGGGAACCGCGTGAAGTCCCCAAACACCGTGGTAGACTATAGCCTAAGCCCTCATCCTAAGAAGACCGGTTCCCAGCCATGAGTCGTGGAATGGGTTCATCTTGTTGATAATGGACACCTTCCAATAAAGATTTAAATCAGACCGACATGCCAGGAAGTAAGCTGTAAAGAGTTTAAAAATGTTTTAATGTAATGTTTGTTTTATGATATCAAGTGACGGGAAGAAGTCGTGAGCTTAGTGGTAAGCGACATATCCATGACAGTTGCAGTGCCATTCCGAGTTTGCAAAATTGCAATCATTGCCACTGCACCCGTCACCCTGAGACCAGTGATGCAACAGACCTCTGATTTTGCATCTGGAACTACGGAAATACCGTACTCTTTTTCACATCTGTTTCTGTTTCTGCTTCTGCAACTTTTATAACGGAACTTTAATCGGAAGTTTATAACATTCGCGATACATTAGGCGCTAGTGTGGATGACATGACAGTGGAGCGTGCGATTTTTAATACTTTTGTGTTGTGTAATAATCGCACTTAAATTATGAAACCAAAATAAGCACTATTGGGAATAATTTAATTGAGTTCTTTATGGTGTTTACACTTCCGCATCCGCTTCCGTTTCCGCTAAGATTTGCTTTTAACATCTGTTTCCGTTATACACTTCCGTTGCATCACTACCTGAGACATACGTTGATAAGTCCCGTATGCCCGTAATGTATGTATTACAGTGCAAACAAGTTGACATAAAATCTTTTGACTTATTCAAATGTGTGTATATACTATTATTAAAAACACTAATCTTACCCTAAAAAATTTTCACTACTTTCAACACACTGATTTTCTATTCTAACTCATGATTTCAAGACTGCATTGTCTATGCAGCGAAACAATGTTACTCAAGTTTTTCGATCTGGGCGCCTAAGTTTACAAGAACTTAGTTTTACCGAAGTTCCGGCATTAGCCTGAAAGTTGTTATACAACAATGTTTCTACATTACTGTGTTATTTAAACTTTAAATGAATAAATGCTAAACTTCAAAGTTTGAAAATACGTCGTTAGCATAGGTTTTCATGTTCGGGATCCTGGTTAGTGCTCTCGGAATTTCGTTGCTCTGCCACTTATATGTATTATCATGGACCAATAAAATTCTAGAGGAATACTAATCT